AGCGTCTCCTACTATGCGTACATGTATCCGCCGCACGATCCAGCCGGCAGGGAGGACATGTAAGAATTGTCGATCACCACTCCTTACCCATTATATGTATTCTAAATCTCTCCCTTAGCTCCGACAACGTGGAGGCTGTGTTGGAGGGCATTGGCGGCAATGTGACGGAACCTTCGGCCCCAACCGCCAACGTTCCCAAGCCAAAGCCTCGTTACCAGATCTCATACTATGACACCGTATCGCACAGTCCCTCGGCCGGAAGCGGTTACCACGGTCAGCAGCTTTACTCCAATACGCCTCCCTATTCCGGACACGGACATGGTCATCACGTGCCGCCGCCGGCAGTGCCCCACCAGCAGCAGCTGCACCTGGAACCGGGCGACGCCAAGCAGAAGCAGTCGCAGACCCTGCCCTCTCCCAACCGACAGATTTCGCGCCTGGCCGGGGTCGGGCACCAGGGACCAGCTGGATCAACCAAAGAAGAGACCGGCCATGGACACAATCTCGTTGGCGGCCAACAGCAGGCTGCGGTGGGCAGCGTAACGCCGGCCAGTCTCTCCCGGCCTAGTCACAAGATGGCTCCGCCCTCGCTGAAACCCACCATCCAGCAGATCTTTCCGCCCAGCGAACGGGCGCCGGGAATGGGCGGCATGGGCTTGGGTGGGCCCACGTTGGCCTGCATGAAGGAATGTGATATCGAGAAGTTTGCTGCCGACAATCTGAATCTGCACTCCAAGGGAATCTTCCGGAAGAAGGCATCCGTGCGCGACATGCTCAGTTGGACGGCGGAGGCGATAAGCCGACCCATGCTGGCCTTGTCCCGGGACAAGGCGGACAAGAAGACGGCCATCGAGCTGTTCAAGCTGGTCCAGATCTACATGGCTGATCGCAAAGCGCGCATGGGCATGACTCTGAATTCGGTGGCCATAGAAATTATCAGTGCATCTTTGCCGCAGCAGCAGTGAGTTCATTAAAGTAATTCTCTTCTATTATGATTTATGTTGGCATTTTGTTCGCAGGCTAAGAGATGAGTTGTATGTTCAGTTGTGTCGCCAAACAACGGAGAATCCCAAGCGAGAATCGCTCATCCGTGGCTGGGAGCTGATGGCCATCTGTCTGTCCTACGTACCTCCTTCGCCCACGTTTCAACCGACGCTGCTCAAGTGAGTAACTTCAGCTTAAAGCTAACGAAACTCCTTCAATTGAGTGTCATCCCATTGCAGCTATGTCAATCGGCATCGCGATCCCTCGTTTGCCACTAGTTTCATGGAGGTGAGCAAGTGGCCCATTCACGTGCAGATCTCGCACTATGCCACCGTGTGCTGTCGCCGCTTGGATCGCATTGGCAGCAGTGGACGACGTCTGGCCAAAAAGCCCACTGTGGATGAGGTGGAACAGGCGCGGGTAACTATAAACAAACGGAAAACAAGGAGAAATCTGTAACAATTGCTATAATCTAAACTTTTAGCAACAAATCCTGAGGAACAGCATGTTCGGAAACACGCTGTCCGAAGTAATGGAGCTCCAAAAAGATAAGTTTCCATTTCGCAAGCTGCCCTGGATACAGACCACCCTTTCAGAGCATGTATGTTTCTTATTTGAATAAGCTAAAAATATAGTTTTAATTCAATGGCTTTTTTGTTTTTTTTTCAGGTGCTGTTACTCAATGGAAAGCAGACTGAGGGAATCTTTCGCGTCTCCGCGGATGTGGATGAAGTCAGTTGCATGAAGAATCGCCTGGATCGGTGGGATGTTCCTGATTATAACAACACATTGGGTAAGAGAATACATTTACTGATAAATAAAGTTTTCAGGGAGCAACTCCCAAGCTACTGAACTACGTTAACTTATTTAAATCGATTTAACTCTATTCTTCAGTTGATGCACATACGCCAGCCAGTCTGCTTAAGCTGTGGTACCGAGAACTCTACGATCCGCTCATACCGGATGCCTACTACGAGGATTGCGTGAACACCGAGGATCCCGATAAAGCCAAAGAAATAGTAAATAAGTTGCCCGAAATAAATCAGCTGGTAAGTTGGTAAAACAAAATATTTGTGTATATATATAAACACATAAATTTGCTTGCTTTCAGGTTCTTACGTATCTAATACATTTCCTGCAACAATTCTCCATAGCCGATGTAGTAAGCTGCACAAAGATGGACTCCTCAAATCTAGCCATGGTGTTTGCGCCGAACTGCCTGCGCTGCACGTCTGAGGATCCCAAAGTGATTTTGGAGAACGCGCGCAAAGAGATGTCCTTTATGCGCACTCTTATCCAGCACATGGATACGACGCATGTGGCCAATCTGGTGTAATGGATACGACGCATGTGGCCAATCTGGTGTAATGGATTGTTGGCCAACCGCAATTAGCAACTACCTACCTACCAACCTACGAATATGTAAACGTTAATAACCTACCCTAACTTACTACCTACCAAATCTAACTTATTCAAAAGATTATGATGAAGAGCGACGAATCTTAACTCCTACTTTAACTTTAACTCGTTTTGCTACTCGAATTTTCTTACTAATTGCTACCAAAACCGAAAGTCTATGAATTTAATCTTATTTCGTAATGTTTAGGAAGCTTGTTAAGAACAATGGCAACAACCACAAATACTCGAAGAACTTGTAACTCGTAGTGCTTTTTCAAACCAAAAATAACAGAAAGATGAATCCAAAACCGAAAACTCAATGTGTGCATGCCTAGTTATGTGTCAAATTGTAGTTCAATTAATTTATTTTGCATTTTAACAGTTGTTTTTCTTTAAATGGAATTTAAATCAAAGCAAACAAGCAAATACTCAAAGAAACTCTTAACTCTCAAATAATGCAAAGCAAAGCAAACCTTGAACAACTCCTTGCGAAGCCTATAAATAGTTATAAAATAAAGCTAACGATAAATTAAATTAAACTCTATATATTATTATGTAAACTGTACGAAAAAGGAAGATCAAGAAGGAGAACCGAGAGAGAGAGATAAGTGAATCAAATGCAATAAGAGGTCAATGATGGAACTGCTTATTAATTACTTGCAGCCAACGTAGTGCTATATACAAAATATTTATTCATTTGCATAAATAAAAGAAAGAAAATAAATTAACAAACCAATGTTCAAATCCAACGCAATTTTATGGAGAACAAGTCAACTGAAAGTATATAAATGTGTATTTAAAACCGCCACTTTCGAAGGAGATCGAATAAAGTTTTACATGTATAGCAGAACTGGAAAATACTTAGACCAACATTCCTTATTGATACACATGCCCATAATAGTATTATAAATTCAGTTAGCTCTTCCTTGCCATAATGGAATATTTATGCCCAATTTCGAAGTCATTTCAAACCGTTTGTCTCCTGATAATTGCTAATAATTTAGCGTCACTTGACGACCATAAGCCCCCCAGGCCATGGCACATTATCGAACAGCGTAGTGTGCGGCAGTAGACCTCGTCAATGCCTCGAATTGGGCGCATTTACTTATCGCTTACCACCGAAAAAAGCTTTTCTCCTCAAAAGAACATGGCGTTTTCTACTTTTATCACCATTCATTATTCATTATTTTGGTTTTCTTTTGTGTAAAGTACAAAATATTTGTTGAATGGCCGTTTCTGCCTTACCATTGAGAGCTCCCTCTCCACAACACCCCATTCGAACCATTCACATATTGATCAATTTGAATACTCACCTTGTGATATGTCACGAAATGGCCGTCAGGCCGGGTGCAAAATGTTATATCTTGTCGGTGGGCTGGATTTTGTCAGGGATTACACAACTGACTGTCTGATAGCAGAGAACAAGTGTCTGCTCATGATGAAGCGGCGAAGTGTTAGATCCGGGGATTACAACTGCACTCGGGAGTATAGATTTCCTCCATATCTCTGAAAGTTGACTTTGCATAAATTAGTTCTTTAAATATTTTGATCTTTTTTTTAAGCCAGGGGCTTTAAAAAAACCAAATAACTTATTATAAGTAAAATACATACATATATGTCTTACAGATATACATAACTTAAACCCTAATAATAGTGTAGGTTTCTAGTTTTGTACAAATATCGAAATTCCCAGAATATTCACAGGATTCTTTTAAAAAACTATAAGAGAGTTTTTGTATAATTCATATCTTCACTGCAAAATTCTTCGAAATTTATGTATGACTCTTTTCCTATTTCCAGCAGTCATAAAATATTAATCGGCAATCCATTCACTATATTTTACTGCCTTATTCGCAAATATCCCCAAAAAATACTGTAGTGGCAAATCGTTGTATCATATTTCAACGAACGCTATCAAATTGAATTCATTTATTGGCCTCAATCACATGAAATTGAGTCATTCATTAGTAAAATCAAATCACATTTATATCAAAGTCCCACCAATTTGTAATAGCCCCCATTTTAGCCCATTGCAAATGAATGTTTTCAGTGTTTTTATAGCGATTCATCGTGAGAAATGGAAACATGACAATTTCTCCACCAGTCGCAACTAAAGATTTCCATTGTTCTCCGAATATCGTTGAAATCCAAAACTTATCTCGAAGATACAAATTTTGGGGGCGACCTGAAAAGCAATATCACAGAAATATCTATGCAGTGGTAATGTTGTTGAATCAGCAACAATAACAACAATTGGTGGCATTTATGGGCTCTGCCCTTTTTTTTATCACCCAACCCAAAGGCCGAAATCAGAAGTAATCCATCATCTGGGAGGCTTTACGAGGAGCCCGAGTACAACTGATAAGACACCCCCGAAATACCTATTCACGACTACAGTCATACAAACGCATAAATTGTTCCCGAAAAGCAAAAATCATAACACAAACTCGATTACTCAATCAAAGCGATATCTACCGAAGGGAAGGACGCCTCCCCAAAAAGGGGGGGGTGGTAGAAATGGGGCTCCACTAGAGCAAACGAGAAAGAAAGAAAGACAGTGAGAGAGAGCTTGGTAATTTTAATTTGTTTACAACAACAATCAACAGAACATAATAACTAAACAGTAGCTGCGAGCTGAGAGCCGAGAGCCGAAACCAGGTAACGACACCGATAAGACGTGATTAACAATTACTCGATCAAACGCACCGCTCCCGCCGAGTGGGAGGGTGGGTGTTTGGGTGGTTGTGGCTGTGAGAGGGCTGGTGGAGGAACCGTGATTTATACGACGGTCGGGATCGGATCGCCGATTGGGTGTCCCGGCCAGACTGAGACGCCCGGTGTCGAGCTGTCGTTGTCTGCAATTGGAAATCGAAATCGAGTGGAGTGGAGTGCCATCGAGCCACTGGAGCGCCCACCAACCACCACTCGCTTATCAATCGATGGTCGGTAGCAGGGCTTTATCTATCCTCCCAGGCCCGGGCCCGGCATATCTACATACCGCTCGATTATTGTTAATATTGATATCTACCCATTAGCACAACATTATAGGTACAATCTATTATATTCTGTGAAATCAGATTTGGTACAATTTATTGCGCCCTGGGCTCTGCGACAACTTCTTTAGCCGCCGGTTGCCATTAGTTCATCGCCTGCGGCCAACGCAGTCGCTTCGATCGCTCCGGAATCGAGTCGCTAACGTTTTTGACGCTGATCAAGTTTGCCACTCGGAGGAACCAACATGGATATTGGCACCAAGTCGAGCAAGGCCGCCTTCTCCATAGAGAATATCTTGGAGCAGAAGACGAGAACAACAACACGGAGTCCGGCTATCGAAACACCCCATCGAACCCAGTCGCGTCGGGGCTCCTCCCAGAGTCCAGTGGCTGGAGCGGCAGGAATACCTTCTCCACCAGCACTGGCCATGCCCAAGGCAGCCCTGGCCACCGCATCCGCATCCACCGCCAATATTTATGATCTGTCCCGCGAGGCGGCCGCCACCCAGTATGCGCTCAAGAATCTGGACTCAAGTACGGTGCTGGCGCCCACCTCGCTGCGATTCAACCCCATCTATCCGGATCCCGCCTCGCTGTTCTACCAGCAGGTGCTCAACCTCCAGAAGAACCCCTCGCTCTTCATGCCCCACTTCCAGGCAGCCGCAGTGGCCGCCGCAGCCGCCGTCCAGCCGACAGCCTATTGTGATCAATACAGTCCTTTCGCCATGGACTGCGAAGGTTAGTATTCACATATTTGGTGATCATATTGCAATATGAATAAATGCAATGTATAAAATGCCTTTAAAAAAATTTGATTAAGGTTACAGATTTATTTGTTGTTTCTGTATATATACCCAGATTGTTTCATATTTCTTAACACATTTCCATTAATAACTAACAAGTAATTAGTATAGTTAAATATACATATTACTTAAAGCTTATAAGGAAATTAGCACAATACGTTTTGTTTTATGGACATCACAGGATCATATGGTATAATCCTGATTGTTTATAGAGACTTAGAAAAAGAAAAGTTGCATGAAGAAGTATCCATTGAAAACTTATTTTTAAACTTATTCCTTTTTGAAATATTATTGAAAATGTTACATCATTACCATTTTAATCATGGGTATTTTTAAACAGACCGGAAATGAGTCACAAGTTGCGTACACGAAAATATGAATAAATAAGCTCTACAATTATCAATTAAAAACTGAACTGCTGATAAACATTAAGACAATCATATCTATAAAAATGATATGTTAATTCCTAAAGGAACAAAAATGAATGACTGAAATGTAAGAACTGAAAGTACCTAACACCGTATTTTGTATGACTTTCTCACAGTTTTAGCCACAACTTAAGGATTAAGAACTTACCATTCTCGACAGTTCCAAGTTCAAGTCATTGAACCTTTCTTTGCTGAAACCCTAATCCCTTCAATCAAACTGACACATGGAAATTGATCGACCACGGGAATGGTCCTATGTAAAAAGTGCTCATTTAAATACAGTCTTAACTAGCCTAAGTCCAAAGTGTCCAAACCACCAACACTGCAATGGGGATCCCTCACTAAATGGGCCATAAACATGATTAATGTGCGTGTGCAGCTTGGTGTTTAACAAAGTCAAGTGTTGGCGCCAATGCCACTTGAAATCTCACTTTTCCACCCCCAAACAAACTGCATTCCATGGTAAAGTCTCAATGCAATGTAACGGTAGATTAGCCCCAGAAAATCGGGCAGGGAAACACGAAAGCTGATAACGTCACAGACCCTATTCCATCCCATTTTTCGGATCGGAAAACCCACGAAATATTTTCGGTGGCTTTATCACAATGACAAATATTTGAAATTGAGTTTGGGATCCATCAAAAGCTAAGCAAAAGACATACGAATGCAGTGGAAAGATAAGTTATATTTGGATCGTATTTTAAATGGGAGAAAAACAAGAAAGCTATTATACCCTTTTGTTTAAACAATTTAAAATTAATTAAATAGTTTTTTTTATATTTTTCCCTACAGTTACTATAGCTTTTTAAACACACTACTACTGTATATGTATATAAAATTAGCAAAATTTGTATTAAACCATATCTACTTTATAGTTCGCCATTGACTAGTTTAGTATTCCCATTGATCAATACAATTCAGATAGTTATATTTGTCCGTATAGCCCACTCAATGTTCATTGCTATCCCGATTTCCGATTTGTTTTGGCTTATCTAAACGAAAAATGCTATTAGAGGCGATTAATAGGCGCTGTCCATCATCTTATAGCGACAATTGCCATTTGATTACGATAAGCTCGTCCGTTGTCGACACTCGGTCGACCTGGAAAAGAGTTGCAAGGGGAAGTTCGACAAGTGTCTGATATGATTTTATTTATTCTTTTGGACACGCACATTATAAAATAATAACAAATCCAATTTTCAGCGATTAAACACCTTTGGAAGGTGGAGAATGGCAGTCTACCCGAGGGGGGCAAGTTCTTATCGCTGGGTACGCCACTTAATAAAAATAACCGTTAATAAGTCTATTTGTTAAAAATTAAAATATGACATCTGAAATCGAACGTTATTTGTTATACGGCATTTGGCAAATTCCGAAAGTTTTTAACAATCTGTACTGTAGATTGCTTGCTTCTCTTATGAGGTAACTGAGTCCCGAAATACCAGATTAGTTCAGCACTGTCGAACGAGGGCAATGCGACAAGTGCGAATTTCCGTTACGTCAAAAAAAGTTCCTTTTTCCTTATCGACATATACTGGACATATATGATAGAACCATAATCGGATTGCTTGTCGGGAGGGCAATTGATTCGCTCGATTGCCCCTGGAATCTCGACTCTCAGGCTCAGTCGATCCATTTCGCAGTGGCCACAACTCGTTACCCACTTGTAAAGTGGGCGTTAACATATCCCCCAACACCGATACTGGTGCTGATATATACCCGAGCACTCAGGCACATGTACGACTCGGAATTAATGTGTCCGATTACTTCGATAAGAATTGGTGGGCGGAGATAGGGGAATCGGGCCACATAAGCCACCAATCAAAATCAAATGATTGCAGCACTTTATATCGGGCATATTAAGAATATCAATTATATACTAAATGTTATCCATCGCATCATAATGAAAGGGCTTTTTAGAATTTGTATACCCTTGCAGAGGGTACTATGTATAATAATGTATGAAAGCTTCGCAGTTTTTGAATTTGTTTTAACATACTTTGATATATAGTAATGTTTTACTTTTTTCATTCAAATCTAAAGACTATTTCATAAAGCTCCAATAGGAACATTACATCGTTGTTGTTAAATTTATACGGATAGTCTGCAGGATTTAGAAATAGTTTAACAAGTAATCGATACTACGCTATAGTATTACGAAACTTAGCAGAAAGTCAACATAGCTTTATTGTTTTAAATTTGTAAGCATAAAAATCGAAATAAAGTTTTATATAACATAATATTTATGTAAATAGCTGCAACTGTATATATCGTTGGGCTTGCCAAAGTTATAAAGTTTTTATAAAGGTTCTACTATTTTATTCAACCCATATCATTAACATTTTGTCCATTTCCTCCGTAGGCTTTCCAAATCCGGCAACCGCTGCTGCCGCTCTCTACTGCAATGCCTATCCGGCGGCCAGCTTCTACATGTCCAACTTCGGCGTGAAGCGAAAGGGCGGCCAGATACGGTTCACCTCCCAGCAAACAAAAAATCTCGAGGGCCGCTTTGCCAATTCAAAGTATCTTTCGCCGGAGGAACGTCGGCACTTGGCGCTCCAATTGAAACTGACCGATCGCCAGGTATGCAGTTAAAATAACACCTATTTAAAATGTAAGCTTAACATACCTATGCCATCGTCTCGTGGTGAGCGGCACAACAAATATAAGAAATAAAAAAGAAAATAAATAAAATAAAAGCTTAATTTTCCCTTTTTGTAAATAACTAACAAACAATACATTGAGCTAATATTATGTATATATGAATTAATATATTTTATAATATATTATTCTTCTGTCGTTCTTTTTCGTTTAATATTATCAAACTCTTTTTATACTTTTATTAATATCTGTATAATTTTTTTCATATTTTTTCTTCTCAGGTCAAGACTTGGTTTCAAAACAGGAGAGCCAAGTGGCGACGTGCAAATCTCAGCAAGCGCAGTGCCTCCGTCCAAGGAGCAGTGGCCACGGCAGGATCCCCCGCCTCAGGTTCCAATAGTAGTGCACCCGTCCTGAATCTGGGCAGCGGGAGCAGGAGTGGCCAGCAGAGCGACGAGGAGGATCGCATGTATCTATCCGAGGACGATGAGGAGGAAGACGAAGAGGAGGAGACGGAGGAGACCCCCAAGTGAAGCCAGGAGATTGCCCACTTACTCATAAGATAGTTCAGCTTGTAGTTAGGTTAAATAAATTTATTTCAATAGAATAATGTTTAGTTTGTGATAGAGGTGCTGGTGCTCCTAGTGGAACTGGTAGCTGTCCAAGCAGGCACAGTTGGGCAAGGTGCAGCGCGGTGCCAGGTTGGAAAGGTGTCCCATGGTCACCGGAAACGAGAGCGGCACAAACCACTTTGGGTAGGCACAAATGGCGGCAGCCGCCGCCGAGGCGCTGCTTCCAAAGACCGGCGGCTTAAGCTCCACCATCGATTTGCTCTGGTACTGAAAGGTAAGTTGTATGTTATCAAAGAAAATACTTTGTACGACTGTAGATAAATAATTCACATAAACATAAAACAAAAAAAATAATGTGTCAATGAGCTATTTTGATTTTAAAGAAATTGTAAATATTATAACCAAATGATTTTGGATAATCGGTTAATAAAACAGTACATAATAAACTGGAAAAGGACTTTATTGCACAAATGCTTTTATAATGAATCACTCTCATTACTCGTAGGGTTATAAAGGTATTGTAATCTTTGAAAAGTATGTAACGGGGTAGAAAGATTCGTTTCCGACCCCATAAATTAAATATATTCTTGATCAGAATTAATGGCAGAGTCGAACTAGCCATATCCGTCTGTCCATATGAACTTCGATATCTCGGAAACTATAAAAGCTGGAGATTTACGAATAAACAAACAGATTCGAGTTATGCCTACGCAGTTTACTTATAACCACTTCCACTTTGACGCCCACAAGTCACTGAGACATAGTAGAGTCCATATATGTATGTTTATTAAGCCAATAACTATCGAACTATTATTTTAGAAGAAACAAGCATAAATGTAAAGGTTCAGTTATTTTGATATTAGTGACTTCAGTATCGGGTATCTAATAGTCGAAGCTCTCAACTATAGCGTGTCCTATTTTGGCTGATTGTTAGTTAAAAATTAGTTAGTTAGATCTTGTTTACCAACTTACCTGATCTGTTATTACAGGCCTAAAGGCGCTGCTTCTGGACGTGATCTGCGGCACACTGGGAACTACTCCTGGCTCCTGGCTTGGCAACTGGGTGCTGGTGACATCCACTGGTGTGTTTCTGCCCGAGGGCGAGACATTCTCAATGGCCCGGATCAGGTCGAGATCGCAGCGTTTGAGGACCAACTCCAGGACAGATCGCTTGCGCTGGGGAAAGAGCTGCGACAGCATATCGATGGCCGTTTGGGAGACGTTATCCCGCCGGGGAGCACTGAGATCTTGGGCTACCGCCGGTTGTTCGCCGTACTCCTCCTCCTGCGGCTGATCCGGCTGCTTCTGCTCCTCCGGCAGAAGCTTCTCCGACTGCACATCTTCCCGCTTGGGATGCGGTGAACTGGGCTGGGTCACGGTCAGACCGAAGATGTTGCCCGGCGGCAGAGTGTCAATGGATCGACCGGTTTTGTTGGCCACCAGCCGCATGGCAATCGCGTCCTCCACGGCCTGCTGGCGCTTCAGGGCAACCTAAAAGACCACAATGGAAATTAATATGCGACAAGTGAACATCTCCGTCTGCTGCTGTTTGACTTTTCCGCAAACAAAGACCACAGCAATTCCTTGGGGTATCGCCCACACTCACATCCCAGCCACACTGATCTAATGAAATGCGAGACGGAGCCACACTTGTGCAAACAGTTTTGGTAAGCGGATATTTTGGTCGATTTGTTCCTACGCTTTGACAACTTTCCATCATCATCATCGCCCCGGACTGGTTGTGCTGGCCGAATCTGTTCCCCGTATTCCGTTTCATTGGCTGTTTGATTTGGGTTTGGAGTGGGGCATTTGCGGTTCGCGGGGCTCACCCGTGGGCTATTTGTGTTTCGAATTGAGCGCTTGGCCAGCGCTTAATCTAAAGACAATATAAATGGCATAGCTAACTATTTTCCTAAGGAAGCTGGCAATTGAATTCAGCTACACAGATTGATTAAAACAGGATGGGGAGGCATACATATAAGGTCCTAGATACAATTAGTCAACTTTCAGATTTCTTAGTTGAACTATGCTTCAAATTAAATTGGTTGCAATTGCTCTTTACATTAAACAAAAAATCTCTTTTTTACATTTTAAAGATCACAAGGACTTAACATTTTAATTTTAATTAAAAATAATAATTAATTAATTTAATTTATTAATTAAATTAAAAATAAATAATTTGTATTTATTGTTTGGATGTTTTCGTTTAATAAATGAAACTTCAAAATGTAACTGATAATTTAAAATTATATTTAAGTTTTATAAAAAAAAACATTAAGCTTGATTATTGATCAACGTCCTGAATAAATGGATCGCTGCAAACGTTGTAAGTCAACTTATAACGAAAAAGTATGCATGTTTAGTTTTCTTTCCGAGCAAAGATGTTTGTTTATATAAATTCTTTAAAGTAAGTATATTTTAGGGTTCCTTTATTATATTTATTATTGTTAAACCCACCTGAGCGGCCATGATGCGTTGCCTCTCGAAGATCAGCACACACTTGGCGCACTTGCAGTTTTTGTAGGTGCACAGCTTCTTGTGTCCTCGTAGCTCCGAAATAATCCCATGGTTGCGACAGCGGGCACATTTGGGAACCCGATTGGCGACCTTGACCGCTTGGGACTCAACTACTTTGGGACTCTTGGAAGTGCCCACCAGTCGAGGACGCTTTGTAGCCACTTCGCCAGCAATTTCACCACTGACACTGACATTGGCCATCGTGAAGCCGAGAAATGGATTCAATTAAAACCGATAATTGCACTATAAAGTTGCTGCTTTCGAGCAGAAAACTGCGACTTAGTTGGGGGCCAGCGAAAAGAAACTAAATTTTGGAAACACTTTGGACCAAAGGTTCTGGGAATTGTTTCAAAGCCCATGAGTTGATGCGGAAACTTTGTTGACTTACGCAGGCGCTTTTGCTTCGAATTGCTAGTTAAATTTCGAGGACTGCTATTGGTTGGTAAATGCCTAGACACCACCCCTTAAAGCCAAGGCTGGGGATTGTGGGTGGAGCCAAACTTTTCAGAGCCTTCCTCTGCGAAAATATATAATATGAGTCAAAAATATCTAAACTTATTGAAATAATGTGAATTAAACATTTCTGTTTTGGAGATCTTATGTTGGAAAAAGTATTTAAACAGATGGAAGTATTAATTTCATAAGCAATTCATTTATTTTTCTGGGGTGTATGTTATATAATCTAAAAGGGTATAAAATGCGCTATTCTCTAGGAAAAGTGTAAATAACCCGACTTAATATTAATTTTTATTTAATTCGTATTTGTTCCGTATAGTTTTTCTTTAAAAGGCATTTTTCTCCTTATAAATTTTAAAATGAGTTTGTAAATCATTCTCTTTTAAAGAGAATTCAAGCCGTTATGCATTGATTAAATCTTAAAATTATATTAAATCTAACGATTTTATTTTAAATCAAATTTGAATTATTTGTACTGCTTAGCGAAGTTCACCACCCGCCAGCGTTGCCAGATGTTCAACTAAATTATCTGCCACGAAAAATAACATACGCACGCAGCAAACGTTCACACTGGCCGCATATTTAAAAAAAAGTGTGAGACCCCCAATTGGACTGTTCTTATTGGAGCTGAGCTAGCACGTGCACGGAGATCACAGATCGAATATCAGCACCATGGTTGCCCAGAACTCGGACAAAATGCGCGCCCTGGCCCTGAAGCTGTTCGAGATCAATGCCTTCAAGTTCGGCGACTTCAAGATGAAGGTGGGCATCAATTCGCCGGTTTACTTTGATCTGCGGGTGATCGTCAGCTATCCGGATGTGATGGTTAGTATTTGGGATCCAAGCCTATGTAATTATCCTCATGATAAATATACCACCCTCAGCAAACAGTATCCGACCTCCTAGTGGATCACATCAAGGACAAGCAGCTGACCGCCAGACACGTGTGCGGAGTTCCGTACACGGCCCTTCCACTGGCCACCATTGTATCCCTGCAGCAGGGTACTCCAATGTTGGTCCGGCGCAAGGAGGCCAAGGCCTACGGCACCAAGAAGCTGGTGGAGGGCATCTTCAATGCCGGCGACACCTGTCTGATTGTCGAGGACGTGGTCACCTCCGGGAGCAGCATCCTGGACACAGTCCGGGATCTGCAGAGCGAGGGCATTGTGGTCACCGACGCCGTGGTCGTCGTGGACCGGGAGCAGGGCGGAGTGGCCAACATCGCCAAGCATGGCGTCCGGATGCACTCCCTCTTCACGCTCTCCTTCCTGCTGAATACCCTGCACGAGGCGGGTCGCATCGAGAAGTCCACCGTGGATGCGGTGGCCAAGTACATAGCCGTCGTCCAAATCAACAGCGATGGAACCTTTGTCGGCGGCGATAAGGCCGACGTGGTCGGAGGTGTGTATGCTCCAGATCCCCCTAGATATATAGTAGATAGATAGGCAGATGGACAGATAATGGGTACATGACACTCGGGCAGCGCATGGCCTCGAACTAAATTCAATTAGGGGAGCTCCAGTCGCAGTGTCATAAAGTTCGTAAATTTGCTTTCGTTATACAACGGGCATAAACAGCGGTAAGCCGATCTGGGTTCCACACTCGGACCGGATCAAGTTGCCGGCTACACGGCACGTGATTCCGCCCAATGCTCCATTCAATTATGCTTATCAGGGCACTTGAGAGCCAGTCCCAGTCCCCTCCTCCAATCAAGCCTATCTCGTGGCCGCCTCTAAAAATAAGCATTGGTTTTTTTTTTGGCCTGTTCAAATTTATGGCAACCGGTTCTATTTTATTTCCACCTAAAAAGTTAATAAACTTTTAGTTTATCTTAATAAGTGAGGGGCTACGGCTTGTCTTCTTATCTTACCAATAAAATTATTATAGAAGTAGCACCATATTTAGTATATATGCTTGATTAGAATTAAGTATAGGTCGTTCTTTGAATACTCTATTTCAGTTCCAAAAGTTTAGCCTTATATAAAATGTTAATTTGCTCATGTTACCATGAGGAAGAAGGAAGCAAAAGTAAGTAAGATTTCTATTCTGTAAGGCATAGAATGGATGGATCTAGAAATGTAGATCCAAGAAAAACATTTATGACAAAGAGTAGGTAGGTATAGATCATATCCGTTTCACAAAGTTTGATCATATGAATAAAAAGAAGTAGCGATAATAAGAATATTTGGGACTAAAGAAAAGTAGGGTAGGTTTTTGTCTAATGATAAGCGATAAGTTAGGTTTCGCTTATATAGTGGTTACTAATTTGTTAATAATCTGCCCACAGCCAACGACCTGCAGCGCACCAAACTGACCTACGAGAGTCGAGCCAACTTGGCCAAGAGTGCGGTGGCCAAGCGGCTGTTCAACTTGATAGCCAGCAAGCAGACGAACCTCTGCCTGGCCGCCGATCTGATCCGTGCGGATGAGATACTGGATGTGGCCGACAAGTGCGGTCCGTACATTTGCCTGCTCAAGACGCACGTGGACATCGTCCAGGACTTTAGCGAGAAATTCATCAGCGACCTGCAGACCCTGGCCCAGCGGCACAACTTCCTGTTGATGGAGGACCGCAAGTTCGCGGACATTGGCAATACAGTGTCCCTGCAGTACGGCAAGGGAATCTACAAGATTTCCAGCTGGGCAGACCTGGTGACGGCCCACACTTTACCTGGACGCAGTATTCTGCAGGGTCTGAAGGCAGGCCTTGGCGAGGAAGGAGTCAGCAAGGAGCGCGGAGTCTTCCTGCTGGCGGAGATGTCGGCCAGCGGCAACTTGATCGATGCCAAGTACAGGGAGAACAGCAACAAGATCGCCACAGAGGGCGCCGACGTGGATTTCGTGGCCGGTGTGGTGTGCCAATCCGCCGAAGCCTTTGCCTTTCCCGGACTTTTGCAGCTGACCCCGGGAGTGAAGATCGACGAGAGCGTGGACCAGCTGGGCCAGCAGTACCAGAGCCCAGAACAAGTGGTCAAGGAACGAGGAGCCGACATCGGCGTGGTGGGCAGGGGCATCCTGAAAGCCACCAATCCGGAGCTGGCGGCCCAGACCTACCGCGATCGCCTGTGGGCAGCCTACCAGGACAGAGTAGCCAAGTAGAAGATACTGCCATCATTTCCTCTATACAAATATTCCCACACCCCCATTCCCGCGGTTTCGGTTACCTTAGTTAAGTGAAAAACTTCCAAATTCTTTTCCATGATTTTATAATGCATTTATGAATTGAATATAGGCTATGAATCTTCCACAGAAAAAAGGCAAACGAGGTTTGCCTTCAGATAAGAGTTACAACAAATAGAATGGTTAACAATCGATGTGAAATGCTTCGGCGAAGAGAAAGTCCTTAGTAGGAGGCCAGGCACTGCAACACGTAGCTGTAGTCGCCGGAGAGGTCGTCCTGCAAACGAGATCAAGAGGGGAGGAGGATGATGAGTCTGACCCAGTTTTGCCGTCAAATGTAAACCAACTTTATTAGTTAATACGAGCACAAAACATACGAGTTCGATGCAAAATAAATTACAGTAAAACATGTATACAAAATAAAATATATATAAAAATGTTAAATAATCGTTGTCGAACAAATCGACTTGGACGTTAGACGTTATTGCACAGAGGGTAAATACTAAAGGTTTTTTTTCAAATCTTTTTTAAAAGAATAGAACATGTCTAGATAATTTCATTTGTTCTCCGCTTTTGTTAATTTTTTCTTTTGGGGAAATGCAATATAATCGTTTTGATTTTTTGGCGTTTTCTACTTTAGCAGTGGGAATATTGCTCATATATTGGTATATTCTGGCCTGAATCCATCTACCAAGCCGTAAGAGTGACCAAAACATATCCAATATCGGTCTCGGCATCCTCCTGTTGTTGTTCGTTTGGGTTTAACGGTAGAGATAAAGCGTGAAAAGAGCAGAGGGTCAGAGCATTAAACTCATTTTATTTTGTATACATGGCTTATGTATTTATTAATACTCGGAAGCTTCTCATTTCAGAAATGGGAGGATGATTAGGATTATGTAAAATTGATCAAGGAAAAGCAAACTATTGTTTAAGTACTTGATCAGCAAAACACAAGTAACAAATTGTATTTAAAACTACTGAACTATTTTGTTTTAAGCTCTACATATTCAAAGTGAGATTTTACATAATATTTACATTCAACGGAAATTTACTAACAGCAAGCAGTGCAATCAATTTAAAGTTGAAAATAAACCAATTCAGTTAACTTTCTATAGCTGATCAAGTTCTTATTACTAGACCAATTTTAGATGATTCTTGCATTAATTAAACCAATGCCCTAGTTAATGTTATGAAGTTAACCAATGTAGCGCTGTTATTTACATGACAAGCAGTGCAGATTCCTCTGCTATCAATAACGAAAACTCAAATTGAATTTTGTATTTTATTTTTGTCATATTTTTTTTATTTTGTTGCGTTTTTAAGTTTAAATATATTGCAAATGAGACTCGAAACAAAACGAAAACTATAAGCTACATAGCAGTGTATATAGGCTCATGTGTAGTAAATATAGAGATACAGTTATGTGCATGTGGCGTGCATAGTCATAATAATAATAGTCACAATTTATAATAATTAACAGGATGCGAGACTTGGGATTCTGATGCTAAGGCTTTAAATGCACTGTGTGGTCTCGATTTCGCTAAAACTTTTTCCAGTTTAAAATCTGTACATTGTCAACTATTCGATATCTGAACTTCGTTTGTACATTCTGTTATTTATATATA